ACTGTCTTTATTTGTGATAGTGACACAATAGCTGATGGTGCCAATGTCCACAGACCTTTGAGAATGTGGATGTGGAATAAGGAGAGCTGTGGGGACAAAGCTGGACAGAGCCTAGTAGTTCAAACCATGGATATTGTTGAAAACCTCCAGAGATAGCAAGGTTTGCAAGGATGCAAATCACATTCGCTTATAAAAATCGTTCGCTACGTTGTGGTCATAGGCAGAAGGGTAGAGCCACAATTTAGTTCCTAAGTGCTGACTCTCATATTCTGATTAGGACCATTGTCATGTTTAAACAGTAGTTGTATCTTTTCTTGCAGAATCACTGCTTGTGCGATGACTATGAATAAGTATGTGGAAGAAAACGTATCTCAAAAATCCTACACAACCATCAAGTATTTCATGAAGATGCTGAGCAGTGTCAGCGAGACCCTGATCTTCATCTTCATGGGCGTGTCCACCGTTGGGAAGAACCATGAGTGGAACTGGGCCTTTGTCTGCTTCACCCTGGCCTTCTGCCAGATCTGGCGAGCCATCAGTAAGAGAAAGCAGAGCCCCCAACTGTCTCCTGCCCCCTGCTTTTTAAATTTTTCTTATTCCTTTCTACCATGTAAAGGCCTAAGTAGTGAGGTGATACTAACTGGTTTTACTGGTTAGGCGGGTATGGGCACCTTGTAGCAACAAGAAATGTTCTGTTTACTCTTTCAATCAGTCAAAGTCATTAGTGGCTGATAAGCAAAGCTATAGAAAGGAGTATTTTTTTTTTTTTAATCGAAGAGAGAACTTTCACATCTATACATTTAAATATAGCAGTAAATTTATCCTTTGCTCTTCACTTCTTTGCCAATTTTTTCCCTCTTGCACTTTAAATCAGATATGGGTTATACACTGCAGGCATTTACATTTTTGTTACAGGAAAGTGAGATGTCACAAATCGTATTCTATGTGTATCGTTAAAAAAAAAAAAACATTTCCCTAAATAATACAGGTGATTTCAGTTGAGGGTGGAGTGTGATGTACAGAAAACCAAAAACTAGGAAGTGAATAATTATTTTTGAGATGTGCTTAGTATTAATTAGTAAAGGTGACTCTATAATGTAACTGGCATCACCCCTATAAAATATGCCTAAATTAAAATTGAGATGTCAGGAATAATAGCTGCTGATTTATCTTGTATGTTTATGTTTCTGGAGCTAGAAAAAAAAACATTAAGTATTGAACTACAATATTTATGTTTCCTTTTGATTAGAAGCAATTATAGGTTAAACTAATTTAGACTAATACTTGAGGCATGTTTTTAAATGACTTTGATCAGTATTGTCAAACCAATTACTCAAAGAGAAATTAGGAGAAACAGCTGAGAACTTAACTTGAGCATATCGATCCTAAATAAATTTGGGATGGGTTTTAGGATCTAGGAAAGAATAAGAAAAGTGCAGAAATATTAAATAGTTCATAAAACTAAATCTGAATGCATGTGCCCGTTGGGTCCTCAACGGAAAAAGGAATTATGGAAACTATTATAGAAATTTATAATCTTACATCAAATCTTGACACTACTACTAAGTAGCTACTTGAACTTGGACAGATATTTAAGTACTCAAAATCTTCTTCCTCAACCACAAAATGGTGAGTGTGGACAAATTTCTTAGGTCCTTTTTAATCCTAGAACTATAGTGGTCCACAGGAGATTAAAGCTAATTTCAAGAGAAATTAGAGCCTCAGCTCAGCCAAAAGAAGAGAAATCATCTAGAAAAGGAGTAATATTGTGGATCCCTCAACACTGCTGACACTTGGCCACCATCTAGCCCAACTTCTTTGTCTAGTTGAAGAAACTGGTAGGACAGTCACTGAGAGAATGGCTGACTTGGCTGCGTCACAATGAGAGGCAGGGCCAGTATCATAATCTGGTTCCCCCACTCCTAGCCTTTTCTTTTTCTAGCATGACTCATGGTAGCTACTCATTGTAGTTCACTCATGAAAGTTTATAACATAGAAGGCCCTGCTTTATGTAACTTATAGATATTAAATGTGTTTAAACTTTATATCCACCTTCTGAGATAAATAGGATCATTACCTTTGTTAAGCAGGTGAGGAGACTTAGTACTTGATAAAATTAAGAACCTGCCTGAGGTCACATGACTAGTACGTGGTGGAGACAGGACAAAAACACAAAATGAAAAAATGTAACTGTCTCTTGTGCTATCAATGTGCCTATAATCAAGGTTGCTTGCTACGAAGTCTGTGTGATTAGAAGTCACACAAAACCGAGTGCTTTATTATTCTACAGTGAAACCTCTTCTTTAATTAGTCAGAGCTTTAGTGAAGGAACCTTTTCCACCACAAACCACTGTGTTGGCAGTAGCTAGGCCATGTGGGCCACTTGGGGACAGAAAACCAGTGTGGTAGAAAACACCTCTGTGTTTTAAACAAGCTCTTCTACCCTCCCCCTTCCACTTACTGACAGCAAGAAGCCCTCCCTTTGGGTTCTTGCCAGAATCCTTTCTTGTCTGCACTGAACCTCAAAATGAACCAAATCAACCACAAAGGATTTACTCACCCTGCAGAGACCACAGTCACCGAGAGGGCTCCTCTCATGTTGAAAATTATGCACCACCCTTGATTACTCAGCGAGAACATGATATAATCAAAATCTTTTCATCCTCAAGGCAATACCCTCATTTTGAAAGGCAAAAATTATGGGTATAGATTAAAAATATATGCCATTTCTTATATCAAAAAGTAATAAGATTTTATTACGTTAAATACACACTCATAGAAGTTATCAAGCTGAGGCACTACTATCTTACAACTAGTCAAAAAATGAAAAAATTTTGTGAGATATGCTGTTTGGGATGGGTAATCACAAGCATGAGGGAATTAGTGTGCCTCATTTTGAGGGCATGTGCACACGAATGGGGTCACTAGCATTGTGTGTCTACTAATTCATGACCCTCTGCTCTAATACGTATTTCCCCCTTTCTAGGTGTATTTGTTCTCTTCTATGTCAGTAACCAGTTTCGGACTTTTCCTTTCTCCATCAAGGACCAGTTCATCATTTTCTACAGTGGTGTTCGAGGAGCTGGAAGTTTTTCACTTGCGTTTTTGCTTCCTCTGTCTCTTTTTCCTAGGAAGAAAATGTTTGTTACTGCTACTCTAATAATTATATACTTTACTGTATTTATTCAGGTTGGTAGATTTCTTTCATATTTGAAATAGGTAGATTCTTTTAGGATCATGTATTATATTGGTATAATACCAAAAAGGGGACACTGTTTGATTTTAAGATATGTGCTCAATACTCAAACTAAATCCCCAAATATTTCTAGATCATGTTTGTGGTCATCCTTTAATCTGCCTTTTAATCAATAAAACATATTAATCAAATTATTCCTGGGTAACAGGTGAAGATAGCTACTCTACTGTGAGTTACTGAAAATGAGATTCCAATTGGTACTAGATAGCACAGTTTTTGTTTTAGTGGGAATTATCTCTCAGCAAACTGATAGGTTATCTTAAGAGCTAAAACTAAATTCCTGCATTAAAATACAGACATAATGCTTATTTTTATTGCAGAATTTAAAAGAATTAAATAAGATCTGAAATAAACACTGAAGCATTTGTCCAGTGGAAACTAACACAAAACAAAGACATAAAAATTGGAAGCTCTGATAGTTTTGCAAATGAATTTGCTTTTTATAATGACAATCTTTACTACAACAAATTATTATTTGTGATCTAGGGAATCACAATTGGCCCTCTGGTCAGGTACCTGGATGTTAAAAAGACCAATAAAAAAGAATCCATCAACGAAGAGCTTCATATCCGTGTAAGTTATCTCATTGTCATTTCTTTCTGGAGTTTCTAGGGATATATCTGTTTTCTTGCTTCTTCCAGCTTCTAGAGGCTGCTAGCCTTCCTTGGTTCATAGACCCCTTTCATCTTCATAGCTGACAATGGCCGATAAGGTCTTTCTCGGGATGCATCACTCTGATACTGACTCTTCTGCCTTCATCTTCCATATTAGAGACCTTTATGCTTATATTGAGTCCATGTGAATAATTTAGGATAATCTCTCTATTTTAAGGGATTAGCAACCCTAAACCCATCTGCTATCTTAATTCTTTGCATATAAACCGACCTTGTGCATCTCTGGGGCCCATTATTCTGCCTACCGCAGTCTGCCCTCAAAGATTCATGTATATCCCATGTACTGCATACATTAGCCCTATCCTAACATCCCCAAAAGGTTCAATTTATTATAGTATCAACTTAAGGACCAAAAATCTCATCTAAATCTTATTGGTTCAAAAGTTTCAAACCTTACCATCTCAATCATCTAAGTCAGGGATGGGTGATGCCCTAGGATTAATTCATCCTAAGGCATAGCTCCTCTCCAATTCTGAACCTGTGAAACTCAAGCAACAAGTTATCTGCTCCCAAAATACACTAGTAAGACAGTCACAAGATAGCAGCTATAGATATTCACTTTCCAAAAGGAGAGAAGTGGGGAATGGAAAGCAAAAAAGAATCATCTATCTCTAGCAAATTTCCCAGTCCATCTGGGAAAACTATTTGATTTCAAGGCCTGGGAACAAATTCTGTGATTCTTTGTTCCACATTTTTGTCTCTCAATTCTACCCTCTGAGTCATACTTCCTTTTTCATGAAAGGCAGCGTATTTGATCAGCCTGTTTCTTGCCTGTAGAGTTTTGGGGGTCCAACAGCCTTGTTTTGTTTTGTTTAGTCTTTTCTCTCTCCTATTCAGTCCAAGCTGGCAATATTTCTGGGATGGAAAGCAGAATCAGTTAAAGATCTATACTAAGAGCTTTGTTGCAAGGAACTGGCTTACCTACTGTGGGGGCTGGCTCAGCAAATGCAAATCTGTAGGACAAGCCACCGAGAAGGGCAGACTGGAACTCTCAGGCTGTAACTGTCATGCACAAGTGAAAACCTCAGTTCTACTCCTCAAGCCTTCACCTGATCAAGTCAGACCCATTCTAGATAATTCTAACTGATGTGGCCTTCAGTCACACCTACAAAATGCCTTCACGTCCACATCTAGATCTGTGTTAATGATAACCAGCGACTGGTTTAGCCAAGTTGACACCTCAAGAAACTATCCCAAAGACTAATGTTCAGAGTTGTCCTACTTGATTCTAAAATCATGGTTCCAATGAAACATGAGATCCTCTGCCTTTTCTGAACTTTTATTTAAGAAGGGCTAAAGATGTCCACTACTTGCGTAGACAAGGCCTAGTGGCCATTTGCAGTGAAAACATCCAACTCTGACAGACGACAGTGAAGTGAGCATGGTTTCTAGTTGCTTGTTTTGTTTAAGTTCAGCACTGTATTGAGCAAATGTCATTCTGTTTGGCTCCAGGGAATCTAAATGAGAACTGATGTGAAGGAGGTATGGGGAGAGAGACTTTGGCTCTGTTAATGAAGATCATTCTGACAACTGTTTTTTGTATGGCACCCAAAGGTGAAATGGATATGTGCAAGTGGTCGGGAACACTTGACAGAGTTGTATGGGTGGTTGAAGCTTTGAGAGAGTGATTGGCCCAGATAATTTTTAGGTTTCTTTCATCCCTGAGAGTCCATGATTCTAATGCTGAAGAAACTGCCAAAGTCTTTCAAAATAAGCCCCGAATTTCATTGTCAAAGTCACTTGAGGAAATAAAGGAATTAAATTCCTGAAAACCCAAACCATAATGTTTCAAGGCCATTTGAAAATATTCAACAGATGAGGATAAGGGGTGAGGATTACCTACTGTGGGGTGAGGATAAAATAAATAATACTTTAACCTGATTGAAGATTTTTGTCTCTATCTTTATGCCCTCTGCTCATTACACTGAGAAATTAGATGTTATACCTCAGACAATAGAACTTATATATTTCACTTTTTATTTTTCTCAAAAAAGCTATAATTATTGGTAGAAGTACCTCAATTAAGTGTTTCAGAATTAATTTGGCATTTTAATCTATTTTGCAAGAAAATTTAGAAGCCAGAATGAACTTTATGATTACAAATTTAAATTATTTGAAATTTAATTCATAAACTTTGAAGAGACTGTATTTTTTTCCCCCCTAAATTCCTATACACAATTTGGATAAAGCGAATACAGTATTATTGGCTTGGATGATGAAATGTAAATACTGAGATAGAATGATCAGAAAGAATATAAGGCATATAGATACATTTTGTTATTATGTGTTATTATAATAAAATTTCTGTATGACTACATTTCCAGAAACTGTAATAAATTGGATACTGGCGTTATCTTTTCTTTTGCGATGAAATTAAAAGTAACAGTTAATTATTAATCTTCATATCCATGTGATTTCAGTAATGAGGACTCTCCTAGATCATTTTAGAAACATTATTCAAAGAAAATGGCAGGTACTCTGTTTTTGTTGCAAGTTATGTGTGTTATTAAGGAACTTAGCCACAGGGTCTGTTGACTCATGAAACTAAGCTGAATTACTATGGAAGGCATTATAAGTTTCAGTGGCATGAACAGAGTGATAGAACAGAAGATATGTTCCAGGATATGAAGGCCTCCTTTGTTTTTCAAAGTGTTTCAGCTTTCCTTGTGTGCCTTTTAGAGTTAATGTTTCACCGCCGCTCGTTCTCCTGTGTTTGGTTTGGCAGCTGATGGATCATTTGAAGGCTGGAGTTGAAGATGTGTGTGGGCACTGGAACCACTACCAAGTGAGAGACAAGTAAGGATACAGAGGGTTTCCCTATCTAGGAAGGATCTTTGTGGTGCGGGGAACCACAAAAGTTTATGTTGGATGCTGAGCATAACAAGAGAAAGAATCTAGAGGAAGGGGACCAGGAGGACAAAGGGAGCCATGATGTGAAGAAGCAGGTGGAAAATGAAAGTGACTCTTGGATTTCCAGGTAGGGAGTCTAGGGAGATAACAATGCTGTGGTTAAATATATACACTGTAGAAGAATGTTCAGAGTTTCATAGCAGATTCCGTTTAAGATATGTCAAGTATATATCCATCTCCCTTTTAGAATTTAGTCTCAAATTTAAGAGGAAGATCACAGTTGGAGATAAAGGTTGTGAGTTGTCAGCGAGTGGTAACCAAAGCTATGGACATGGGTGAGGTCGCTATAAGAGTGTAAAGAAGGCAGCTAACTGAGGACAGGACTTTGAGAAGCCTCCAATTCCTATGGGGCAGGTGAGGGAAAGGAAGGGTGAGCAGCCTCAGAAGAACTCTATAGAGAGGTTGGAAGGGAAGCAGGTGGCTATCACGATGTAGAGGGCATGGAGGAAATGACCCACTAGTGCATCAGGAGAAGCCACGTGACAAGTAAGACAAGGACAATGGCAACTACTGGAGTTGAACAGTACAAGGTCAAGGTGAGCTCAGTATGTCAGTGTCAGAGAAGCCCTGATGGTTGGGGAGCCGATGACCGTGGGCTGAGAGATAAGCAGAAACAATAGCCGCTAGTGAAGAAAGGCAGAAAACTAGAAGGCTAAGGGAGTGACTCAGTTGGAGCAAGAGTGGGCCTGGTATGTGCCAAACATAGGGCACAAAGCTCAAGTATTCACAGTCTGTTAAACCCAGAGAAGACTTGACTGATAAATAATCCATCCGCTTCACGGACCAGGAACCCAATCACCAGATAATAAGCCAGCAGCTCAGGGAGTTTCTGTTCCCCTCCAGAAAGTAGAGCAGGCAGACAAGTTACCCTTTGAATGTAAAATGATTGGAAGTGTTGAAACTTCCTACTTCAAACACGTGGCTGACTCTGAAGGCACCGATGCATGTGTGTAGCTCAGTCTAATGGGTCAGTGAAAGGTTTGCTGCAATAATCAGCAGCCATCAGCGTCTAGCCTAGTCAGATTCTCCATCATTCAGACTGTCAAGATACATGTTGGCTCTCACTCACCCTTAATTGGCAGGATTGAAAATAATGCGCAGTATAATGGGCAAAAGTACTGTAAACCACAGGGCCATTTAAACTTACTAGGTTCTGGTTGGATAGGCCAGTATTACTGTAAGTACAGCTGTCACTGTTAGGAGCTATTAGAATGAAACACTTGTACAAAAGCCTCAGCACCCTCATTTCTTCTCTTGTATTTGGAGCTGGGCTGGGCCTCCCCCACTCCTTACTTAACGCACAGTTTTTGCCCTAATTGCAGCTTGTCCCTTCCTTTTGTTTAGTTTATTTTCAATATATTCATGCCAATAAGACATTCTTTCTTCATTTAAACAAAAACGTATAAATTCTATGATTTAAAAAAAAAAAAATGTGTTCCAAGGCTGTGAATTCCAGGCACTGTATGGATGTTTTTCAGTCTAAAGCTAAGTAGTCACTTGTTTTAAGAAAAACGCATACTCCCATAACACAGGCAGGGCTTAGACATCCCCCAAATGTCGGTTTTCATTTTCAGGTTTAAGAAGTTTGATCATAAATATTTACGGAAAATCCTAATCCGAAAGAACCTGCCCAAATCAAGCATCGTTTCTTTGTACAAGAAGCTGGAAATGAAACAGGCTATTGAGATGGTGGAGACTGGGATACTAAGTTCCACAGCCTTTTCCATATCTCAACAGTAAGTCCCGTCTGCTCTATGATCTAGGCTTTCGATGTCAGAACTCCAAAGGGCACTAACTCTTTGTTTCACTTAAAAGTAATACTAGGAGTGAAGAGGCACAAATAAGAGGAAGGAGTCATGGAAAACAGAAGATGATCTAAGGCTTGGCATTTTGTAGCCCGGCCATGCTCAATCTGTTCCACCTAGTTTCTGAAAATTACTTTCTAGCAAAAATTTACTTTCTTGCCTGCTGTAGTGGTATGACAGCTTCCTTTGGGAAGGAGGGGCAAGTGAATTTCTAAAATTATAGCCTATTTTACAAGACTTTCTCTTTCTCTTCCGGATTAGAAATCTCTGCCTTTTAACCGCTGTTCATCTGATCCTGCTAATTTCACCAATGCATTCTTCCCATGAGGTGTGATAGTTAGTGCTAGTTAAAGAGAAAGCTGTGTTTGTAATTGTGTCTAAGGCAAAGATCTGTGTGAGATTGTGAGATTTGCCTTGAGTCTGTGTGAGACCAGCTAGTTGTGGGAGGGGACTGGCCTCCTGTGGCACAGAGGGCCTTAGGAAGTTGGTGTGGAAGCAGGGCGCAGGGAGGGGAAGGCTGCATCTAAGCCCACCACTAGCAGCAGATGATTGCTTTGAAGCATAATGCTTATATTGGAGCATGTGGAAACCAATTGTCCCAAGAACTGGCAAGAAATTTTTGAAAGCTGCTTTAACTCTTGGACATTTAACAAGAGCCCCTTCAATATTACAAGAATTAATTCACCACCCCACCAAAGATGCTCAGATTCCTTCCGAGGAACGATTTACGAATTGGGACAATGTTTCCGAATGTATATTTAGGATAAGGATCACCAGCTCTTTCATCCTGTCATCTTCAGCCAGTAAGGACGTTTGCTCACGAGCTTTAATTATGTCCTCATGTTTGAAAAGCAAATTGAGAGAAGAGCTAAGAATAGATAGCAATAAAATTGTCGCTAATGTCTGACTGTTATTTCTCACCCCTTACTTGCTAATGAATCAGAAACACCATCATCCTGCTTACACAGCCTGGGAAAATTTAAAGTAGCAAAGTCCCTGGGGCCATTGTGGTATAAACGGAAAGCTTTCTGCCTTATTTTTCAGTGAGACTGTTTTTGTAGTTTGTTTGTTTGTTTTGGTGCTGCCCATCCCAGGGCTTTAAGGAAACTTCTGATACTATATCAAGACTGTGCTAACAAATATTTATTGGCGATGCCGTAGTAGAGCCTGAGGCAGAGGAAAAATCAGTACTATTGATCTTGTCTTTATTTAAAATGATGATATTTTATTCATCATGGATTTTTTTTGCATTGACCTTTATTGTCTAAAACACTACATTCAAATCCTACTTTACTTGATAACTGAATTCTTTGGTGTCCCCTCGCCAGAGGCAAGCACCTCACTTGTGTCATCTTGGTCCCAACCCTGTCCTTGGGCACCTATTATGTGAAAGCAGACACAGTCCCTGCCCTCATGGAGCTCCTACTTTAGCAAGGTCATGACATTAATACAAAAGAACATGTTAATAAAAAAGGTCACAAATATACAACCCTAAAGTATAGGGAGCTCTGAGAGCATGAGAGATGAAAACCTTCTAGTCCCCAGGCGGTTGACCTGTTCACTGAAGGATGAATGGAAATTAACTCAGGGCCTGGCAGGAGGGCTGGACAGTTTCGAGCAGGTTATACCATTAGAGCTTTCTCAATCGGTTGGCTTACTAGGTATGTGAGCACTTGGTCCAGGAATGTAGGGGTGCTTATCTCAAATGGGAATCAACCTGTGCTGTGCTAAAACATAACTCAAATCTCCATATTACATTGCCTGGGTCATAAACAGTTGCCCTCATTTCTGACCTCAAGGCAATTTGTAAACCAGCTCAATTCGGAAAGGGCCCTTCTGTTGAGTCGATTATTTTTTCAGACAGTTTTTCAGTTACTTTTTCAGACATTGATTCAAGATTAATAAGAGAATCTCGTAGGTTAGAGAGATTTTTTTTTTTCTACTTATAGCCCAAGCCAGTTAACTGGGGTGGGAGAGGAGAATTTTTAAACTGATATTTAATACAAGTTTTATATTTAAATTGCATTTATTTGATCTCATCAGAAATTGGTAGGACATCAAGCAAAAAGGAATTCCTCTCCTGAGATCAAAGCAGCTAATTTCTTAGTAAACAAACCTTCATACAATAATAGGAAAAAGAAGTGTGTACTCAGCTCGCTTTTTATTATTCTGTATGAAATGATAACAGCAAAATGCACATATATTTTTTTTCTTCAGAAGTTTAAGCAATTGTTCTACAAGGGGTTTAGATTTCCAAACTCTGACCTTCAGGAGACTACTCCCACTAAAAGCTGTCTGTAACACAGTGCTGATGATGTTGATTTGATGGAATTTCATTACTCTGACATGTGTTATTTTATTCGACCCTTAAAATAGGCGAGAGTATGCATTTGAAGTATTATTTTAAACATGAGGCACCTCATTTTACCAGTGAGTAGTAAGCTCTCAGACATATCATAAGATAGAGGTTAACACTGATTAAAAGTGAGGAAGCTTTAAAAAAAAATGGTTAATATTAAAGAGATACTGAAATATTTATAAATTTAGAGGCATAGCAAACTATAACTACACAACTTTAAAATATCATATTTAAAAACTACTGAATGATTTTACACACCATTTATAAAAAAGCATAAAGTAATTTAGTGTAGTTTAAGAATTTTTAAACTGATCACGTATCCAGGTGTATGTATACCTTAATGCATTCTTACAACAAAGACTCTGAAATGAAGGTTCCCGTGCCATTTTCATTCCATAATGGGACATTGTGTTGTGGGGACCCAGGCCTTATCCTCTGCCATTCTTCACTCATTCTAAATGCTGGTGGTTTTGGTGACTTTTCTAAAAAGACATAAGGAAGGCACCTGCACTCACAGAAGAGTTGTTGGCGCCGTTGTGTACCCAGTGGGGATCTTCCCGAGTCACCTTAGCACACGTTTCCCACGATTTCATGTATAAAGCTATTAAAAGAGGGTGGATTCTTCTAAATGAATCAGGGTGTAATATTTGATTTAGGGGAAGAATTCATATTATGGTATGAATATAGCATCTATAAGATTTCATATCTACATTGCTATGTTTAAAATTGAAGCCTCTTTCTACATGTTCATAGCATCTGATTTTTTTAAAAAATTAAGAGGAATGTGAACCTTTTATTCAGATATGTTTAGAATCAGATTTTTCCCAGTTCGATTTTAATAGCCATGAAATCATCATAGAACTTTTATTTAGAGCAACAAAGATTTCTTTTACGGATCATGAATGAATGTTCAAGTGATAAGTGTCTTTAAGTTTCTTGTTTTACTTTTTTGACCTAGAGATTATTAACATTCAGTTTTTCTAAGGATTGTATATTTCCTGTGGTCGCGATATGATTATTTCAGAGATGATTTTGCTAACAGAGTGGCATGTAGAAAACTCCAGGTATCACCTTGCCCAAGTAAATAATTTGTCTGTATAATTTTATAGCTGCAGCTTCTTGCTGTGGATGAGAGGCGATACCTTTGGTATACCTCTGTTATACACCAGACCAGCAGTCTGAGTGGACCTTCCCAACATGGTCAATCATAAACCAGGGAGAGTGCCATGTTAGATCTACTGCTATCTTAAGTTTAACTTGACCATTTCCTTCATCGGTGGTTTTTTGTATTTGGTTGTTTTATTATGCACACAGAAAATGGAACTGTTTGATTAGCTGTTGTTTCTGCTTAGCAATAGATTATTTCCTCCATAATAAAGGAATGTGTTCAGATTGTGGGAATGTGTGGGTGTATCTAAATAGAAATAGATTTTATTTGAAAGACACTTAAACAGGTTGAAATACCCTTCTAATAATGTGTAGATCAATAAGGGTGGTGACTGAATATCAGCAGTGCTGGCATTTGCAGTTCTGATATATGGAAACTCTAATTTCGATAATGGAAAAAGGACATTAGTCAGTGTACAGATAGCATCGCTAAACAAATTCTAGCATATTGTGATAGCCAGTATCCAAGTCCTTTAAAATATTTTACCGATTTTACACTAGTTACAAAGTTTCCTTGCTATTTATAGCTATATTGCTGCTAATGTTTAGGAAAAAATACTTAAAAAGTGGCCTGTATTATGAAATAGAATTGGTCATAATAAAAAAAGTGACCTGTATTGAAACTAATAACTACTCATCTCTGTGATCAATTATCCAAAGACCTTTGCAAGCAGATATGAGCACAGTAGCACTCTTATGAGTTCAGAAGAGATGCAGCTAAAGGGGAAAAAAAATAAAAATTCTAGGAGTTTATACTAAGATGTTAAGGGTAGGAGTGGTGATAGTATTAAAGAAGTTTTTTTAAAGATAGTTTTAATTTTCTTTAGTTTTTTCTTTAGTTTGTGTGTTCTACAGTGAACATATATTACTCATGCAATAAAAAGTTTTAGAAATTACCTCCACTAAATTAAAATGATTCAAATCAAAAATATTTGTCACACATGAATTCTACATGTAACAATGTCATGATTTTGAAGTCCTCAAAGGACAATTGTGCATTGACTGCTAACCTGGGCATGACTTGTGTTTTGAACCGTCTCAGAGGAGGGTGTTCATGGTGAAGGAAGCTGTGGGGAGCTGGTCAGTGCCAAGGCAGTGAGCAGTCAACTGTTTCTAGAATTGCACAGAGTTCCCAGTGTCTCAGAACTGGGCTGGCTCTTTCATGATGAAAATGGTCTAATTTTCCTTGTAAAATGTGATACTAGTTTCTTACGATTATTCTTTATCCAAAGATAAAATCCTGAAAGGGATAATTCTAAGATAAATGTACTCATAAAAGTACTTATAAAATTTTAATACTATCTTATCTCAATGCTACTCAAAATGTGATACGTGGATGGTATTGTCCATGAGCAGTTTGTCCTCTACCTGTCCCCAATAAGACAAACTTAACTAAGAGTCAGCCTTGACTGAGTAATCTTATTTTTGTTGAATTAAGAGTAAAACATGTGGTTTGCATTTCATGATATTTTTCAAAAATTTTATTTTCTAATAATTGGTTTTTATCATATTTTGCAAAACATGTCCATAACAGATACGGAGGAAAAAAACAATGTGGTTTGTCACCACATTAAACCTCTATTTAAAAAATGAGTTACAATATTTCCCCTATAAAAGGTAAAGGCAAATAAACTATATTTTCAAAATGTAGGTCAAAACACACATACTGACAAGTCACATGAACTTACTAAAACAATAGGAAAGATTATGTAAAAACAGGGGTTCTGGAACTTAGAACTCCCACAAGTACACTGATAATTTTGTGGCACTCCTGCCAAGACTGAATAATAATGCTTGCCTTCTTCCAATGATGTTTCCAGGGCCCACAGGATACAAGAGATCAAAAGGCTTTCCCCTGAAGATGTGGAGTCTATGAGAGACATTCTGACACGCAACATGTACCAAGTTCGACGAAGGGTGCGTATAAGCCATCTGATTTGTCCCTGTTGCCTCTTCTTGGAACCAGTTCTCCTTCAGAAATCAATTCTTGCTCACATTATTCTCTTTAAAACAACCTTCTTGCTGAACACTTTCTCCCTGCCTTGTTTGGAGAACAGAAAGTTAGTCGTTACGTTTCTGCTGTAAAATTGGCACCGGTAGTATAAAAAGAAATGCAAATCCAGTTGCTGGCCCTAGGGGTCAGGCTGCCCTTAGCCCTGCAGCCTGCTTTCCCGATCCAGCAGGTCTCCCTCTCCTTCCAGAGCTGGAGCTTATCCCCTGCATCGTAGAAAGAAAGATGGCACCTAGATGCTGATGAGAATTGCTGCTCAATCTGATTGGCTGTAATAGAGCTCAGTAAATTGAGATGGTTTAGATTAGAATATTGAAACTACAGTGCTAAAAGCCTAAATAAAAAGAGACGTATTAGGCATATCATTTCTTAGTTTTAGAAAAAAAAGGTAAGGGATCTATACTGGCACTTGGGAACTAGACCAAAGGGTGTAGAAAGAACATTTCTGGGGGCTGTGGGTGAGTCCTCTTGAAACTTTGATTTAGTCAAATGACATGTAAACTCGTGTCCTCTAATTAAGGTTTTTGTTTGTTTGTTTGTTTTTGATTCTGTTTTAAGTTTGAGGTTTCAATGGAACATCCCAATTCTCAAGTGTAATTATAAATGAATTCATTTAATGGACTTGGTTTTTGTGGCTATGTCGTAGGTCATAGTCTTGATGGGACCAAAAAGTCTTAGTCAAAGCTCCTAATTTTCAAATGGGAGATGCCCAGGTTAGGGGAATTGTTTATCTGACTTGTTTAAGCTCACAAAACAAATCTAAGTTAGGACCTTAGGTCCTCCAACTGCCTACCCAGGGCTCTTTCCATGACTCTAGACTGACATGATCCAGTGAAAGTAAATGTTTTCTGGCTTCCTGTTTTGCAAAGGTCAGTGATTAAGGTGACTGTGACATCAAAAAGCTCTGCACCTGCGGAAGGAATATAGGTCAGCATCAATCATAGCACGCTTAGAGTAAATTCAACAGCTTTCAAACCATTCCAAGTGAAACTGTTTCAGTGACACTATCACATTCTGCCTTAGATAAATAGTTAAGAACTTCCTGGTTTGAAGAATGTGGATTAGATTGTTGAGAGCCACACCCCTTCCCCATGTTGATGAAGATTGAATTTAGAGGAAGGTCCAGAAATGGATATAGAGATCCTAGGATTCCAGCACAATCTAAATGAGGTTAACTGGCCAAAAAAAAAAAAAAAAAAATTGTCACCTGGACTCCCATGAGAGCCGCTGTTCAATCTGATTGGCTGTAATTGAGCTCAGAAAATTGAGATGGTTTAAATTAGAGTATTGAAAGCACAATGCTGAAAGCCTAAATAAATAGAGACATATTAGGCATATTATCTCTCAATTTTGGAAGATGGAATGGAGTCTATACTGGCACTTGGGAACCGGACCAAAGGGCATAGTAGGGACATTTCTGGGGGAAGTGGGTGAGTCCTCCTGAAAATTTGATTTAATCAAATATATCTCTTCTTTTCCTTTTATGATGATTCTCAGATACCCACCTTTCTTCTTCATTCATCAGTGTGCCTTTTCAGTCTGTCCTCCAGGTTTCTCTCTTCTAAGCTATGCAGTATCCCCAAATCAGCAGACAGGGCAAGGGAGAACATAAATAATAAACAGAGGGCCTTCCAAGCCTCCGAGGTGGCTTTTGCCTCCACTTTTGTTACTTTGAGAGAATGAAGCTCATCAGACCTTCCCCTTCCTGTCTTTCCTTCCCTACTATGTCTTTTACATGGGTCATATGACCCGTCCCCTCCAGCACGGTCCTCTTAAAGGGAAAACTGCTCTAAACATGTAACCCAGGGCAACTGTCTGTCTGCTTTGCTTCTAGTGGGCAACCTACCATTGTGAGGATTGTCACAAAAGGTAACACCTGGAGTCCTACAGCTTGAGTGATAGGGCATAGGCCTCCCATGGCAGCTGGGGCATTTATCACAGTCCACAGCTTGGAAGAGGACATCTTGGGAGTCAGGAGTCACTTTGGGGCCAGGCTGGAATGAGTTCAGGATTTGACGTTGGGAGATCCTGATACACAGTTAGTTCGAAATTAAGCTGGTCCTGCTGGGTCTGTTTTTCTTGGGGGTTCCAGTCATTCCCATCTGAAGCCACACCCTTCAGCTCATCCAGTACAAGATCTTCACTGGCAAGGAAGCTGAAGTAATCTCTAGAGATTCCCAGTGGAACGTCCACAGCAGAAACTTTCTGGAACGCAGTGGGGATTGAGATTGAGAAACCCTCTTTCTAAATTTACAAGAGAAAGAACTGGCATCAGCCCAGACCCTACAGATAAGTCAGAAATTGATGGGCAGTCCCTGGGATGGCATAAATGATCAAGTCACACTCAGAATTTCTATATACTTTCAAAGGAGGAAAACCATTTATTCAACTTTAATTCTTTTCAGCGAAGACTTATTGCACAACTAGGACGCACATCTTTCCCCATTGATCTTGAGTTTTAGTGGGAAATACAGACTTTAAACAGTCACCAGTTCCTTTACTACAGGGCGGACAAGGAGGAAAGAGGAAAGAAATTTGAAAATACATTATACCGTAGAACCTACTATGCTCCTTGTGGTTAGGCAAATTAGACAAGCACATGGATGATGTGGTATGAGGTGAAATAGGAGAAAAAATGTCCAAATTTTTCTTAAAGTACAGCCTCCCTTCAAATCAAGGTGTTGGAAATTTCTCCTAGCAATATATGTATATATATATATATATATACACACACACACACACACACACACACACACACACATGTTTATATTCACATCTATGGATTTGTGAGTGTAAACACATGCACACAGTTTATTTTGCATAAACATTATAAAAGTTTGTCTCCGTATTCTAGCTTAATTTTTAAATATTTTGCATGTCAGTTTCATATGTCATTCTTTCATATCTCAATGTATAAGACTCACTTAGATTGAGGTCCATCATTGGCGATGCTGGATAAAAATTCATATTTCGAACTGACTTCAAAATTCAATTTTTCGGGCCAAGTTCTTGTCAGATTGGTTAATTTGTCAAGTGTGGCTGGTAAAGATCAATCAGCAGCAGGAGAAAGTAGGCTTTGCTGATTTCTCATTTTTCCTTGACCCCCAACCTGTGCCTTCTTTATGGAACTACTTTTAGACAATTGTCTATTTTGTGAGGACTAGTTAACTATTATTGAGTTAGTAGATAATAAAGCCCACAGATCTACTTAACTGGATGTATATATACTAAAACACAAACAATAGACTAAACACCAGTGAAACCAATGAGGGCACTGTTGTCAGCCCCTCTTTATTATAAACTCCCTTTTCTGTTCTGACAGGAAACCTGACCATTTCATATAATGACCAAGTGAGAGTCTAGCATAAATTCACATATTAAATACTAATAAAGTTTAATCTTTTCTGCATTTTTATAAAAATAAATTAAAATATAAGTATTAGTATTTATTTTCTCATATTAAGCTCATCGGTGTGCACTCGGTCTAGAAGATGTCATCTCCCTTAACAGTGTCCCCAGCCCTTTCTGCACCTCTAGTCTCATTTCTAACCATACTTTGAATAATGTTTGTCATTCTCCCATGAGAATAAATTCCCAGCTCTGCTCCAGTGTCCCCTCTTCTCTCTTCCACAGTTGTTTTACAGCTATGTCATATCTCATGTGTTCCCTCTTCCACTCATCTTCTAAGACTCGGCTCCATGTGATGCACCTTTCCTGCCCTTTCGTGGATTCCGTGCTCTTTGCCTTTCCCTCCACAACTCCCTGCAGAGCCTAGCATCTTATCACTTACTGGAGCACGTAATAGTATATGCTTATTTGTTTAACCCCCTCAGTAGGCTATGAGCCTTTTGAAGACCATAATTCTAAATTATTCATTTTTTTAAAATCCCGTCTCTACCATGCCATCCAGTGCATAGAGCTTTCCTCTTTTACTTTTAAACTGAATATCTTTATTAAGGCATCTGTGAACCAAGAGTGATCATGCCTGCCGTCCGACCCTATTATCCAATGAGACCTACAGACCCCGGAGAGACAGGATATTCACAGGTGAACCTTGAGTGAAAAGAAGGGAGAAAAGTTTTGTTAAGCACTTTGAAAGCATCTAAGGACTGATGTTGGTCTATGGTTTAAGACAGGTTTTCACTGGCCTGAGTAAAGATAAGGCAAGAATTTTTCATAAAGCTAATCTGATTCACTTTGAGGGATTGTTCTTTTTCCGGGATGATGTCTTTCCTACTATTTTTGATTAAAAGGCCTCTTCTTTTTGAACTGATGATGGTGATAGTAATTGGTTTTTTTTTTTAAATGTATCTTTAATTGGCAAAAAATTAAATAAAGCAACCTCATAGAAATTCCCAAAGCCGTTTTGACATTTTCCTGACCCATTAAATTCAAATACTAAGTAACCATGGCTTAGAACAAAAAAAACACAACCTAGGAAAGAAAGCATGTATGGGGAAGGCAAAATCTGTGGGTGTTTTAGGGGGGACCAACGCAAGGATAATAGAGGGACAGTACAGATGGATAGCATTGCTCTGTGGGCCAGAGACTTAGGCTCCAACCACAGATCTGTCCTGAGAGGGGTGGCCTTGGTCCCAGAGTTTTCTGCTTGGTCTTCTTGCTCTAGGAGTATTTTAATTCATGACATTTCCATTGCTTCCTGAGGCTGAAGGTTGTACTGGAGCTGTCCTTACATCTTTGCCATTCTGTCTTTCTGCAGACACTGTCCTACAACAAATACAACCTCAAACCCCAAACAAGCGAGAAGCAAGCTAAAGAGATCCTGAGCCGCCGCCAGAACGCCTTGCGGGAGAGCATGAGGAAAGGCCAGAGCCTGCCATGGGGAAGGCCGGTAAGGTGGGGGCTGGGGCCTCACCCGCGCGCTGGGCCCCCTCCTGTGGCTGCCATGACATTTAAACAAACAAGGAAAATTACCGCCTTGTTGTCAGGGAAATACAAAGCAAGAGGGTATGGGTCATCATATGTGGGACCCAGGCCTCTCTGGGTATCCCTGTCTGGGTGTCCCTCTCTGTGTTACCAGAGAGTGGAGTTCCTCTCCTGGCACATTGTCCAGGTTCTTGATGTCTTGAACAAAGAATTGAGCAAGACACTGAAATAAAGTGGAAAAGAAAAGCTTTATTAGAAGAGAAAGTACACTTCTAGATGTGCAGGTGGGTCTGAGCAAGAGAAGTGTGGCTCAAAAGCCTGGTAACAAAGCTTTTGGGGATTTTATCCCTATTTGCTGTGAGTGGTTACTTTTCTTAGAAGAGTAGCCTTCCTCGATTGACAACTAAGAATGACAGGATTCAGTGATTTATCATTTGCTTTCTGCTCATGTTTATTCCCAGAATTCAGTCTGTTATAATGTTATTAAAGAACTTCTGGGCATTTGCATCATGTTATAATGATGATATAATGAGGCTCAGGTAAATTAAAGATCATTGGGGTCTTTATTGAGCAGGTGCAGATGACTGACTGAAACTAGTACACAATTTTCTGCTCTTGTTTCTTTCTATGAGTTACTTTTAGCTCAAAAATGCCTTCTGGCTTGCTTAATTGTGGGCAGACTAGAGTGGACCCTTTCTAGAATAGGATGACCTCAGTGTCTTTGCAGGCAGACCTGAAACCCCCTAACTAACTTTCCTGTCTAACTCTCTTCTAAGAGCCATGAACTCCCTTATTATTAGTATGGATGTTGAGGGAAGGGTGGTCTCTTCTTCTGTATCTGCTTCCTTCTGAGAAGGGTCATAGTCCCTGCCTATTGGGGTTTCATGGAGCTCTTTCTTTCTCTGTCTCAGAACATGGTCTTAGGTTTCCTGCGGAAGTGCCGCCTCCAGTCCCTAGACAAGGAAAAGAAGATACAAACTTGTTATTTTAAACATATATCCATTAATTTTCTATTATTGATTTGCCTATTAAGCAAGTAAGGGGAAACAGGCTTGGTTAATATATTTCTTAATGAGTAAAAAGAACTTTGGCCTAAAGAACCCTCCCCTCTCAGACTCTAAGAGCCCTGCCTGGCCTTACACCATTTCTACTCACAATGGGCCCATGACACTTATCAATAGCCAGAGGATCTCAGTCACCAGTTTTGGGGCAATTATCAGGATTTGAGAGAGAAGGCCTTTTCCCAAAGAAAGGAAAAAAGAAAACTTAACTAGGTTTACTGAAAAGATTAAGAACTCTGCAAGAGATGTCCCATTTCATTTCCTGCTAAAAGATTAAGAATTTTACAAGTGATGTCTTGTATCATCTGGGTGTCCCTCTCTGGGTCCCAGGCCTGAGGAACTCAAGGGGTCTGTCCGTGGGGTTCGTGGCAGCAAACTACCCTCCAGGGTGTGTCCCTGACTGGAACATGCTCGCTGGGCTGAGTCTAGACCAGACTTCACGGTGGCCAGGCACTAAGCATTTCAGGGGACCTCTGTGGACTGGGGCCCCCAACTCTAGGAAGTTTCCTTCTCTCCCAAGAAGATATAGAGAAGAATTTGTTTTGCCGAGACGCTTGGGCTTTACCTTCATATCACCCCCTGTGCATGGAACTATTCTGTTTGAGGCCATATCGAACCAGCCATACTGGGCCTTCTAGATGGAGGTTTGCTCTGGAGAGACCCTCATCTGTACCCTGATCTCAGTGCAGTTGTGGTGCATTTTATCATGAGAGGGGAAGGAAATACATATTAAAGACTGAAGCATTCTGTTTTTTTTTTTTTTTTTTTTTAAACAAAGGAAACGAAAGTCCATTCCAAGCAAGAGGCCAGAGGATAGGTCTGTGTCCTTCACGTTGTTTGCCACCTGAAACTCCAGATTGCAGTAGCTAACTGTTGTTATTTCTACTTGTTTCCCACAGGCTGGTACCAAAAACATCCGCTACCTCTCCTTTCCTTGTAACAATTCTCTGCCAGTGAGAAGAGACACCAGGGCTGCTGAATTCACAGGTAACCTGCGTGACTGGCGACACTTCTCCTTTTCTGAAAAGGGTCAGATAGTAAATATTTGGGAGCTTGTGGGCCAATATGCAAAATGAAGACTATTACATAGGCACTTATATGATAAGAAAGAGAGAAAACATTTTTATTAACCTAATTCAGAAATTTATTGATGAACACTGAAATTTGAATTTCATATCATTTTTACTTGTCATGAAATATTCTTTTAATTTTTGTCCAGCCATTTAAAAATATAACAACCATTTTAGCTCCTCGGCTATACGAAAACAGGCAGTAGGCGGTGATAGCCCAAGGGTCGGAATCTGTTGAGCTCTGTCGTAGAGAAACAGAAAATAGCACTTTTTTTTTTGAAGTTGTGGACTTCACCCATGGTTTAAATAAATATTAGCAGAAACCTCCAAAGTTGCTTAAATTTTGCTAAAATAATTCCCTCAAATTTACTGGTTAAATGTTTCCCATTTAATATCTAATTCTTACGTAGAATTCTTAGGATTATTAAAACTGCCTGTTGTTCTAATAAAAGCCAGGTTGTTATTTTAAAAATGTGTATATAATATGATTTCTATCATCAAAGGTAACATATAATATATATAATAGGTCGTATTTTCTATTTTAATTTTCCTGAATTTTTAAGACTTAAAATCTCATTGGAAATTCAAATAAATTAATCACAATGGATTTTAGAATTAAATCTTCGAAGAGCGAATATAATTATTCTTTAAAATAAAATTTTATTTTTTTCTGATTTAAAAACATGCTTGACATAAAATCAAAATCAATCAGTATAGAAAATCATTAGAAAGTTAAAAGCACTTGAAACCCAACACCCCAATGTAATCTGTCTTTAATTCTCTCTGTACCATCCTGATCCCAATACTACTCGTGCCTGATACAAAAAAATAAGTCACAAACACACCAGCATCACATTATACAAAGAACCATAGTATAGCTATTGTTTTGTAACTTATAAATTGTCTAGTTCACCCAATAATATTTCCATGTCAATAGATATGAACCTAGTGATTTTTAATGACTTAATAATAGTCAATTATGTAAAAACACCGTAATTTATTTAGCTAAAAAATTCTTACTAATAAATATTTAAGGTATTTCTCATTTTTAATGAAAATAAGCAATGAAATATAAAAAGTGCCTTAGATCACTTGATTTTTACACAAATTATTTCCTTGGTATATTTTCTTGGAAGTAAAATTTTTAGGTAAAAAACTACATGTATTTAAATTTACCCACATACCAACAGCCTGTAGGAAAGGTCATTTCTGAAATCTTTTACCATAACTGGGTTGTTGTCAAACTTTTGAATAATATAATAGGATAAGTGTTATGTACCATATTTAATTTTCATACAAGTCCTCTTTATTTTTAGTGCAATTGAATGTCTTTTCATATTTTTAGAGGCAACTGTATTTCTTTTTGGAAAGTTTCTGATTTTTCTTTACTCATTTTTTCCTATTTGATTGTTTTCTTAAAATGAATTTGAGGAACATGGTATAACGAGGATATCATCCATCGTCTCATTTGTTGCCAATTTTTTTCTCGTTTTACACTTACCTTTTAGCTTTTAGACATACTTGCCACTCAGATTCTGATTAATCAAATCTGCTTGATTTTCCACAGAAAAATTAAAAAAATGATTTACCCAATATTTTTCATCTAGAACTTTAATAGTTTAATTTTCCCATTTTAATTTCAAACCAACTGAGATTTATCTTCATGTAGATTAAGATACAAATCGTTTTCAAACAGTTATGCTTCTGTCTCAGCACCATTTTTTTTAAGGATGACATGCCACCTTTGTTGTACTAAAGTCATTTATCCTGAGAGACTTTTGGACTCTCACTTCTGTCTCGTTGATTTAGTAATTCATTCCCAGATCACAGTCTCGTAACTAGTATTATGTAATAAAGGAGCTAATCCACAAACAAAAGCAAACAAACAAAACAAAAGAGCACCAGTTATAGGGTGTATAAAAGATTAATTTTTAAAAATCTTCCTGGTATAAGTCATCTGTTGCTATTTATGTTGTTGGAGTGAATAGAAAACATGAAAGTCTCACAGTCATTCTCATGAGACAAACATCCACATCATGTGATGAGGTAGCAGGAGATGACCACCAAAAGACAGGGTCACCTGAGCATCACCTGAGCATTAACGTACAAATCTTAAACAAAGCATTATTAACAAAACACAGCAGGACGTTAAAAGAATCCTATGCCTTACACAGTGGGACTTATTCCAGAGAGGAAGTTGTTTAACATTATCCAACAGGAAAACAGGTAAAGGGTTCTAGCCTTTCAGTAGATACCCTAAAAGGCGTCTCACTTATACTTTAAGTAAAAACCATAAAATCCCAAGAAAAATAGATACAGGACTTATGTGAAGAAAACATAAAACTTTAGCTGTCATTTCCTCTCTGTAAAGTGGAGAATATGTTATAAAGAATGATAATAATAAACAGGGTGAGCCCGAGATAGTTCTTCTTCTGTATATGGACACAGTAATTTGAGTCCATCTTCTCTCCAAACACGAAATCTTTCTGCACCAGGACAAGGTCAGGGACTGGCCAGAGAAGCTCTAGGAGGGAACACGGAAGGAGAAGACATCCATCCCACAGTAGTCCCTGGCTAACCAGGCTGTGACTTGGAGCATTTTTCTTCCTCACTTTCCTCTTGCCTCCAATGTTAGAACAGCTCTTACTTTAGATACTCAAGAGTTCCCTGCTGCTTTGGGGGACTCCACATACTCTTCCAAGGCTCCTTTGCCCTTGGGGTTCTCTTAGTATTATAAATTAAGAGGTCCTGCCTGGATCCCCCTCATACTCCAGAGACTGTTTAAAACCTGTTTACACTAGAAGAGATGAAAAAGTTTTGTAGGTGGAGGGCAGTGATGGTTACAGGACAATGTGAATATACTTTGTGCCACAGAACTACACAGAATATTATGGAAAAAAAATAGTTAAAATGCTTAATTTTACTTTATTTATTTATTTATTTATTTAAATCACAGCTAAAACAAAACAAAACCAT